TATGGGTGAGGCCAGAATATTGGTAGTTTTAAAAAGCTCTCGAGGAGATCTGAGTGATCAAGAGAGTAGAGGATAAAACTAGTCTTGTGCATGGCAAGTATTCAATACAGTGTTGGCTAGTTAATACACAGTGTAGCTAAACAAAGAAGTAACATGTTCTGCATTTCAGTTCTTCCCTTGGATCTACTCTGCATCTGGCTTCTTTCTCTTACTCCCATCTGCTTTTATCCAACGTGTACCTGAAAGCAATGTAAATCAACACCGAAGATGTCTTAAGGTGTTCCCACTGAGATGAAGGTGCCTTTGAATACAGGTCTCCCCATTAACCTCGAGATGAGAGGGGGAAATGTCAACTTCTCTAACAGGGATCTTTCTTTTGATATCAAGGTGGGCTGTATTCCAAAAGCTTGGCACACAGGGGGCATTAGGGGACAGGGAGGACTTCAGTCAAGCCACCAGAGATCCTTAAATAATGCAAAGCAGAGAAGCAAGGCAGCGATGAGAATGTTAATTTCTTGAGCTCATATTTCTCTCCCATCAGTGTGGATAATCATCTTTTGAAAATGTCCTTTTGTCATATTTATGATGGTGACACATCCATTATGAATACAGTAGCTCATTTGCAACATGACCTGACAAATATTGAACGTTCTAGACTACATTTAATTCCACGATAACTAAAATCATTTGTGTTTCTTTGTAACCAGAAAGGGTTCAGATTATATAAAGCTTAAAATAGGAAGGACTTTATGACTTGTCCTTCACAATCAGTCCAACAACCAGGACGTGGCCTGGGGTTGAGATAGGAGCTGTAGGAGTGGAGCCAATTTGACCTCAAGATCAAGAGGATTTCAATTTCAAGCTGAGGTTCAGGGACACATTTTTGGAGGGAAGCTGGATGAACTAGTGACAAATGAATTGCTAAGTAAAAGTCAATGACCATCTCTTCCAGCTAGGTCAAGGAGTCAGTTTACAAACCCAAGGTCTCTGAAACTCAGACCGTAAAATCTACTTGGGGAGAATCTCAGAGGCCCAAATTCCAACATCCAGTTGTTGAATAATTGCTACATTTGCTGTGATTCTGAGTCTAAGAGAAAGGAGGAAATCCTGCCTGAAAGCTATTTATGTTCCAGTTGGATTCCCAATTCCTAAACACCTGAGAAAGAAACTCCTAAAAGGTATTACAAAATAACATAAGTTTAGATGGCAAAAGAAGCATTATAGTCAGGACAATGTTTTCAATGAATTTTGCAATCATGGTGAGTCCTGAAGTTCGCTGTGTAGGTTAAAAGAAAGATTTATTTTTTGAAGAACAGAAGAGAATAAACTGAACTAGTCTAAATCATAGTGATTTTCTTTTAGTTAAGGAAATTGTTAGGATTAAGTACTGTTTTCTAAAAGTTTTGTTTCATTTATATATGCTTATATATGTGCATCTTAGATTATGATGTAAAATGGAATTTTGCTATCGTATTCAAGGTCCAAAAAGAATGAAATTCACCATTATTAGGGGACAGAGTCTCCTCAGGGCCCTTAGGGCAGAATTTACAAATTGATGGTTCACAGGATACATACAGCCCATTAGCAGTGGGTCGATTGGAAATTTTATTGTTGTTGTTTCATGGTTCACAAAATGAGGTTTTGAAAAAATAAGAGTAAGTGGTCAGCAGTTAAAAGCCGGGAGGTTTCATATTTTAAAAACACAGATTTTAGCTGGGCACGATGGCCCATGCCTGTAATTCCAGCACTCTGGGAGGCCAAGGCGGGTGGATCACCTGAGGTCAGGAGTTCAAGACCAGCCTGACCAACAAGGTGAAACCCCGTCTCCACTGAAAATACCAAAATTAGCTGGGTGTAGTGGCAGGCACCTGTAGTCCCAGCTACTAGGGAGGCTGAGATAGGAGAATTGCTTGAACCTGGAAGGCAGAGGTTGCAGTGAGCCAAGATCGCGCCACTGCACTCCAGCCTGGGCAACAGAGTGAGGCTCTGTCTCAAAAATAAAAAATAAAAATAAAAATAAAAAAACAGATTTCCAGCTTTTCTTCAAATACCAGAACATTTGGAAATAATGAGTCTGTTTACCCACAGACCAGGAGTGCCCAGACAAACTTTCTTCCGAAAAAGGAAAAGTCTGATGGGTAAATCATGTGGATCGATTCCCACATTATTCTTTATCCCTGTATCTTTTGACTTGACAATGATTGGGACCTGGTAGGTGCTCTTGCCCCAGCCTACATTTTTGACCTTGTTGCTCACCCACCTTCTGTTGCAGTCAAACTGAAGAGCTAAAGTATCCAAGAATAGTTCCGGCAATCCTCTAAATGTGTAACACACTTTCTTCACCTGAGACCCTCTGCTGGTTGAAACCTTTGCCAAAGCCCAGTCCAAACATACAGACCTTCCAAAAAGCATTTCTGAATCTTGTATCTCCTGATAGTTTCCATCCCTGAATCGCCCCAGTATATTCTCTACTGCCCTTGACGTACTCTATAATTCTGTACTGTATAATTCCCTAAAATATGTCATTCTTATTTTTCATCATCTGTCTCCTTGATTAGGTCATGAGCTCCCTGAATGCAGGAACCATGTCACATTTGTCTCTACTTTACCATCCCATTGTCTAGGCCAGTGAATTGCGTATAGCAGATACTCAATAATTGCTTGATGAATTGCATTACAAAAGATTTCAATATAAGCTTATTTATTAAAGCATTGCTTGAAATAGCAAAAAAAAAAAAAAAAAAAAAAGGAAAACAATCCAGCTGTCCATCAGTTGAGTTTGAATAAATCAATTGCAGCACCTCCATACAATGAAATACTCTGAGACTAGTAAAAATGATTTAGCTCTATATTTGGTGATATATTATAGAAAGATGTTCAGGGCATATTACTAAGTAAGAGAGCGATTGCCAGAACCACAAAGACATCATTATCTGAAAAAAATTTTGAATAGACACTTTTATGTGTAAAGAAAATCTAAAACAATATTTATTCATTCACCTCACAAATATTTCCTGAATTCCTACTATGAGTCAGAAATTATGCTAAGAGCTGCATGTATAAGATTTTACTAAGCAGAATCTCTATGAACATGGAGTTTAAACAGTCCAGTATGGGAGGTAAAGAAAAATTATATGCAAGAAAATAATGAGTGCAACAAAGAAAAATAAAGCAGAAAAATTGGATAAAGAGTGACAAAACTAACGTGGAGAACATTTCTATATTAAATAAAGTGGTCAGAATACAACTCTTCAGTTAGGGATTATTTTTCCCAGAAACCTGAATGAAGTGAAAGAAGAAACCACATCGTTATTTGGAGGAAGAGGATTCCAGGTAGAGAGAACTCAAGTGGAGAGGTCCTGAGGTACAATTGTACTGGCTGTGGTGAGAGACACGAAGTAAAAGGAAATGCAATATGAAATGAGATCAGGAAATTAGTGTGACATCGCATTATGTAATGCCCTATAGGGGACTTTGAGTCTTATTCTGAGTTGAGAGAGAGACTGGGCAGGCATTAGAAGAAGAATAATAATACGTTTGGTAATGAACTTGGTAAGTTCAAGTGATCTGTTAGACCTCCAAATGGGAGGTAGTTTGATACTTTATCTACCATTCAGGAGGCATGTGTAAGCTGTGTTATAGATTTGGGATGACATATACAACGGTATTTAAATCCATTTTCTAGGTTGACAAGACTACTTTGAAAATAAATGCAGAAAGCAAAGGGATCTGTAAACAAAAAATAAAATTTTAAGCCCTTCCAACTATCTGAATGGACCCCTCGTCTCAGTTGCAGGCTTTCAAAGTTAACCTGAAAAACTACTTCAGGCTATAATGGGAAGTGGCGGAGGAGAAGGTGGTCAGATATACTTCATTACCATGAACATTAACAGAAACCTTAAGACTGATAGAACAGACTCTAAGTCTGATAAGAAACATTTACAATCTGTTCTCTCTAAAGCCTGCTATCTGGAGGCTTCATCTGCATAATTAAATCTTGGTCTCCACAGCTCCTTATCATAACCCAGACATTCTTTTCTTTGCATAATAACTCTTTCAACCAATTACCAATCAGAAAATCTTTAAATCTCCCTATGATCCAGAAGTCCCCACTTCGAGTTGTCCCACCTTTCTAGACCAAACCAGTGTACATCTTACATGTATTGATTGATGTCTCGTGTCTTCCTGAAATGTATAAAATCAAGCTGCACCCCAACTACCTTGGGCACATGTCATCAGGACCTCCTGAGGCTCTGTCATGAGCAGCGTGGCCTTAACCTTGGCAAAGTAAACTTTCAAAATTGATTGAGACCTGTCTCAGATACGTTTTTGTTCACAGGTTTGAGAACTGAGCTTCATGGCATTCCATCATTTAGGGGTCTGGAAGATTAAAGAAGCTGAACAAGCATTACTTACAAGGGGAGGTCTGAGAAAGGATAAAGGAGAGAGCCACATTAAAGGAACTTAATGAAGAAAGTACAGTAGTAATGAATGGATGCTTACAAGCTTAATGATGGCAGCAATAGCTTTTGTTTATGAACATCTCTATTGATGGGCCCAAAGAGCCCAGATGAGGATGTCAATAGTGCTATAAGGCTATCCAGTTGATGGAATGAGTAGCAGATATTTCCTCCCTTGGCTAATTTTCCTAACCTTTGGGTATCACCATCTCCAGTAGTTCAACCACAGACATTCCTTTTGTCAGGTAACTAAAGAAACTATACACTGTCATTGTGTTTTTTAACAGAAGTCAGTAGAAGACAGTATGCTAGTAGGTGGGGTCAGATAATTATAGAAATCATTTACACCTGGCATTTGCATGTTACAACACGATTATGCAGCGTGCCATTCTAGATTTTAATCTTATTGGGTTTTTATATGAGCCTAGTGAGTTAGGTTATGCAGATATTGTTACAATTATTATTACAGTAGAATTGCATCTTACTTGGCAGTGGGGTTCTAAAGTACATAAAGAGAAACTTGTATATAGCCAAAATTACCCGTGAGAATTTTTTCTCTCAAAAACTCCAACACACTCAGTTTTCCTGCAAGTATTAGAATTTGTTGCTGCTTCTTCCACTCATGCCTGGTAAAGTGGATGGCTTCTCTTTGGGCTCATGCTGTTCAAGAAAATAGAGACATGTTCAGTATAGCAAGATGCATGCTATTTCTTCATTTTTTTCCTTAGCGTTCTTCTTCCTTACCTCTTTTCATAAATATTTATGACCTCTCTTACATATCAGGCATTATCATAGGTGTCGTATATACTGTTGTTAAACACAGGGACTATATTCTTGGTCTCAGCAGGCTTACAGTCTAGCATACACTGTGAGAAGCACATGTGATGCAGGAACAATAGTCCAGACCTTTGGCACACATGCTATTGCCATTTATGGCTAGCAGAACTCTTGCACTAATTAAATTATTTCTTTTCCTCTTACAGAGTGCTTGTATTTGAATTTGCCTAAGATAAACTCCCATCAGATGCAATTCTATATTACCATAATACAAATAAAGAAATAGGCTTAGAGAGAAAAGGTGGCTTCCCAAGAGTTATACTATCATAGCAGAATTAGACTTTAAATCCAGATTTAAAAAATTTTACATCCCATGTTCTCCATCTTCTGTTCTAGACATCTCTTCTATCCTCTGACATAGTTACTCTTTTGGGCTGAGTCTACGCCTTCCCTTGTCCCTCCTAAATGGGACAGCATGGCCTTGCTCTTGTCTTTTGCTTGTCTTTTGCTCTTGACTTTTCCCTCCCCAGATACAAATTTCTGTTTCTATCCTCATCTTAGCCTCACCTGAAGAAAATGTGGCTAGAAACGTCTCCATTACTTAGTCATTTTGCTGTTGGTATCCTTGACACTTGGTCAGAATTAACCCAGGCATGGCTATTGAATAGAAAGTACTTGATTTCACTTTACTGACATCTTGACTTTCCAACTTCCCTGGAGATTCCATTATATTCCTACAACCCAGGTAGGGAATTGTCATTTTTACTGAGGATAAACCTATTTAGGTGAATGTCCCTCTGCAGAATCATTTATCTTCCATTTCAATTTATACTGTAGACATGGCTCTTGTCCAAAACACGGTGATTTATTAGGGTTTCTATTTAGGACTGTGTTTATAGACACTATGCCCTACATTGTGAGATTGTAAAAGTAAGAAATTCCCATAAAATTAAATTTCAAGCAGAGCAAATTGTGTGGGGGAGGAGAGACAGGATTGTCTGAAGTACATTAATTCTTACTGGTGAGACTGTGAAACCCTTTGTATCATGTCAGGTTGACCTCACCAATTACTCGGTAAAAGTAGAAAGTTAAAGCAATGTGACTTCATTTAGGTAAATAGATGTGCTGTATTATGAAGCTGCTCTAAATGTTTTTGAATAGTTGCCACTTTAATTTTATGATATAATGACTTGGTTTAATTTCTTGGTCATTTGATGAAGTTTTTATGTCCACCTGAGGTAAGCTATGAGAAGGAACAAGTGATTACTTGCAAACAAAGGCCTTTACAAATTGGATTTCAAAAATAAGGGGAAGAAAAGGGTGAAGTCTCCAGACCCTTTTCTTCACTAAAGAGCCATGGGCATGCAGTCACCTTTCAGGGCCTCAGTTTCTGTCAGGGTAAGAAATGTTAGCTGCTATAAGAAGCAACCTTAAAATCTCAATTGTTATTTGTTCACTCACTTCAGTATAAGGTGTTTGTGTGGGAGGTGGGTTCTGGCCCTTCCAAATTGTGACTCCACCATTTTCAGCAAATAGTCCCAAATTAATACCATTTGAAAGTTTTCTCATGGTTACCACCATTGCCCTTATGAGAAAACTATTTTCAACAGTCAGCTCCCTCTTTCCATGATTTTCTCTTACCTTTTTCCTACACTACAGACTGGCTACAACTTTAACTTGGATACTAGTGAAAGAGTCGGCTATCTCTTTGATACCAAATTATTACATTGGAAAAAATGTTTACATTGTTATCTACCTCTAATTATGTAACATTTTAGGCTTCTTCATTACTCAAGTATGTGAAATAACAAATTTAATAACTTTTCAGTTCATTGATTCTGGATGTGTTTTTCACAAAACTTCAGCCGTAGAGAAAAGATATCTGGTTGATTCAGGAAAAAAAAAAAAAAAAAAATACAACCTTTTTTCCAAAAAGCATTTTCTCAAAACAATTTCTCAGTGTAATTGAATGGTATTTAATATTCAAATTCTTCTCTTCTTTCTTTCTCCTCTGAGGAAAAGCAACTAAATTACCAAGTAGATTTCAGATCACCAAAAAGAAGAAACCGGCAGGAGGCTTAACACTTAGTGTCTTGGATTTTTTTCCTACTACCACACAGTCCATATTTTTCCTTTTATTGTACTTATTTAACTCCTTTTTCATATCTACACATGACTTATTTACACTGGTAATTTTTCATTATTTGCAGTATTTACTATCTAATGTTTGCGGTGGCTGGTTTTGCACTGTTTTTAGTTTAAAAGTTTGTTGTTTTTGTTTGGCTATATGAGGTATATTCCTGCACTTCTTTACTTCCTGCCATTGTGTAACACCATCTAATTATTCAAACCAAGATGATTTGAATAATTAATACTTTATTCCACCTTTGAGAACCTCACACATAGTCTTGGCCCTACAGAAATCATCTGTGTGTGGAATTTCACGAGGGTGGGATTTAAAACATGTCTTATAGGAAGGAAGGGAACATGAAGAGCAAGCCTTATGATGCTGAATGGGGTAATAAGTTTACAGGTAGAATGTGCAAAATACAAGGTCTATTTTGGCAGAGTTAGAGAACAATTTGGGGAAATGGATGAGACCCAGATAGGGATGACTCATATAAACCCCTAGAATATTTAGACTCTAGAGAAGATTCTTCAAAGTATATTTCAGAAAGCACAATTTCCTTACTGCTCCATAAGAAGAGGAAATCATGTATTTAAGATATGCTTCATATGACTTTTACCTCTATTATTAATGTAGAACTTTGGTTTAATGCTTACTCTTGCTCTGAACCATGGCTAAGTTTACTATTTGCATTATCATTTGTCGTTTTTGGTAGGTAGATACTATCATCACCAACATCATCATCATTGTATTTATTATTTATTGTTGTGTAACAAATTACCCTAAAAACTGGCTTAAAACAACCATGAACATTTATTCTCTCACCTTTTCTATAGGTCAAGAGTTTGGTAGCATCTTGCCTGGGAGTTCAGACTCAATATCTCTCATTTAGCTGCAGTCAGGTCATCAGCCTTAGCTGAGGTCCTCTGAGGGCTTGATTATGTCCTTAGGATGCACTTCCCAGTTGGCTTGCTCACGTGGCTGCCATGTTGGTGCTGGTTATTGGTTGAAGGTTTTTTCTCTACATGGGCATTCTAATGGGCTCTTAGAGGGTCCTCATGACATGGCAGTTGGCTTCCTCCAGAGCAAGTTATCCAAGACAGAGCAAGGAGGAGATACAGTGTCTTTCATGACTCAGCTTTGAATACAACTCTGCAACATCCTGTGGGCTACACAAGTCAGTCCTTTCTCATGGGGGAAGAGACACTGTGTGAACACAGTGTGAGAGGATAGTTGCAGGCCATTTCAGAGGTCATAATCATTATCTAGTTTTGCAGATCAGGGAACTAAAATCAGAGAAACGAAGTCATTTGACAAAGAACATAGAACATTGGGAAAGGTCACTTAAACCCAGACACTCTGATGTAGAGAAAGCAGATTTTGAAACTATTCTATATTTATCTCCAACAGATGATTTCTTTCTTAGTGTCACATGGATATTAACATAATAGTCTGATAAATCTTTCTGTAATGAAAGTGCTTTCCAAACTTACGAGTTTATCTTTTCTTTTTCTTTCCTTTCTTCTCCCTCCCTTCTTTTTCTTCCTTCTTCTTTTCTTCCTTTCTTTTTCTTTCTTCCTTTTTCTTTCATTTAAATAGAATATTAACATCTTGAAGAACATGCTTTGGGAAATGTCACTGTAGGAAATAGGGATAATTAGAAGATTCTAAATAAGACAAAGAAATGAAGAGAATGGTATTGAGGTAGATTAATTTGATAAGTGTGGGGGACAGATTGGTGGGAGAAGGAATCAGAAGCATGCAAATGTGTTTTGTTAAGAAAACAGAAACCAAACACACAGACAAAAGCAAACAAAAAGTAAAGGACTATTGCACATGTGACTTGGAAAAAAAATCAAAATAAAGAGTGAAATAATGCAGGGTGGTGAAAGGGGGAGAGCAGTCTACAAAGTACATAAAGCAGAAGAGTAGAGTGGTTAAAGGCAAAGCACTGAGTCAAACATGTCAGGCTTTGTTTCTTAGCTCTGCCCTATAAACCAGGGGATATAGGAAAAGTCACTTCAAAGCTCTCTGACCCCAAACTTATTCGCCTGAACAGGCAGGCAAAATTACGGTACCTCCTGTTGTTGGGAGAATTAAAAATCACATGGTAAATGTTCATAAAAGATCTTTATTATTATTTTTCATATTGAACTATAATTATCTGAAGAAATTCAAAATTAAAAGTGAATATCTATTATAAATAGGATATTAATTTTTTAAAACTTTTTTCAAAACCTCAGAACTCTGTCCTTGAAGGTCTTGTAAGTGATTAATGTATCATGATAAATATGACATTGTTCTAGCTGAAGGAAGGAACCTACCTTCTTGCTCCCATTCCTTTTCTATCCTGTAGTATTAGTCAAAGAAACTGTATAGAATGCCAGGAAATTTGCAAGGTGCTTTTTGAAAATCATCAGATTAAAACCAAACCACCAGTGCCAATTTCTGAGATGAACTATGAGAAGATCATGGTACAAGTAGAAGAGATGTTTCCCCACAGACCACATATAAATAGAGACAGATGAATATATCCTAACGCAAAGCATCTGCAACCCCAAAAAGCTTAATTCTAGAGCCAGAGAGGAGAAAAAGTGAATAAGCAATAAGCTTGACTACTGACATCAGAATTTAGTTTTTGTTATTACTAATGAACATAGATTTCCATAAATATTTATCATAACTTTGCAGGGCAGGTGCTGAATCTTATTTACTGCCATATCCTCAGTGTCTTGCTCAATACATACCATTTAATGATACTTGATAAACATCAGTGGAATGAATGAATGATGGAGTCAGTGGATAAAGAAATTAATGTTTGCATGAAAGGGTTCAGTAGAAATGAAAATAAATGGGTGTGACAAATAAACACTTAAAAAGAAGAATAAATATAATTTCACCACAAACTGATGCACTGAATGAAGGAAAGAAATTTCCTGACTTATAAGAAACAAGACAGTTCAACTTTATGATTCTCTTTTGGCTTAAAAAGCCCATACTTCTAATGTTTTGTGAGTCACAAAGTTCTCTACATCTTTAAGCTTCATTTCAAGACTGCATCAATAGTACTGAATTTCACAGAAATTTGCAATTGAGGAGGAAAAGCCCATTTCAAAGAGAAGATAAAAGAATGCACGTCTATTATATATCAGTTACAAATTGAAAAAGTTTTCAAAAAAGAATTTGGGGCCTGTACTAGTCAGGGTTCTCTAGAGGGACAGAACTAAGATGGATAGATATATATATATTTATATATACACATACATATACATATTTATATATGTATACATATAAACATATATAATATATGTAAGATACATATCCATATATAGATATATATGAAAAGGGGAGTTTACTAAGTATTAGCTTACACAACCACAAGGTCCCACAATAGGCTGTCTGCAAGCTGAGGAGCAAAGAGGGCCAGTCTGAGTCCTGAAACAGTAGAACTTGGGGTCCAGTGCTCGAGGGCAGGAAGCATCCAGCACAGGAGAAAGATGTAGGCTGGAAGTCTAGGCCAGTCTCTCCTCTTCACATTTTTTTGCCTGCTTTATATTCACTGGAAGCTGATTAGATTGTGCCCACCAGATTAAGGGTGGATCTACCTTCCCCAGCCCACTGACTCAAATGTTAATCTCTTTTGGCAACACCCGCACAGACACATCCAGGATTAGTACTTTGTATCCTTCAATCCAATGAAGTTGACACTCAGTATTAACCATCACAAGTCCACTCCTTGTCAACTTGAACCCATACACATCTCCTGAGATCATAAATAATCTTCAAATAAAGACAATAATAAGGACATAATTATGCCTAGCATAATACAACTATCCTTAGAACAACGGGAAACGCAACAATCCCCAACACAAATACTATTACATAAAGTTAACAATATTTAAACGCTGATATGAAGTCAGTACATCTTATGTCACATGATAAAGGAAAAGGAAATAAAATGAAGATATTTTCTTAACAGAAGTGTATACATGCACAAACATGTTTTTCACAAAAGAAGGAGGAAATGCTCATGACAATTACAGTCCTTGTTTCTGCAGCTGGTCACGTGGTCATAGCTGGTATTGGTGACTACCTTCTTCAACTTCCCATTCTGTATTCCCTTTGCCTTCAGCAAGCATCTCAGCAGGTCGTGGGTTTTTTTTTGTTTTTTTGTTTTGTTTTTTTCCTGGTGGAGTGACCCAAACCTTCATTCCTGAGGAATCTGGGCCATTTATAGTCCTGCCTGGATTGGACTGTTGGAGTTTCCCGTTGACCTTAATCACATGGCATGGGAATACTAAAAGATTCCCTAATGTAGCTCCTGTATTCCACGCCTATGCTTCCTTACTGCTGTTGTGGAGTAAACTGATTTCATCTTGATAGTCCAGGTCAATCACCTCAGCCAACACTGTAACTCCCTTCTTAGCCTGTTGACTTAAAGGCAGGAGAAGCCCAAAGTGTGCAGGTGGCAACCTTAACTTCCAGTTTAATGGAGTTGTTATTGTGTCTCCTGGTGGCAGCATTCCTCCCTCTGGAACTAAGACCTCTAGGCCGGCAGAACGTAATGTCTTGGGAACAGGAAGAACAATTTTGCTAGTGGATCACTAGGGGTGATGGTGACTGGTGCCACTTCTACTTCCGCCCCTTGAGTCCTGGACTTGTGAATCCTGGCTATGAGAGAAAGAGTGCCATATGTGGGACACTGATTCAGAGCATACGTGGCCTTCTGGAGAACTCTGCCTCATCCTTGCAAAGTGTTGTCACCTAGTTGGCATTGTAATTGTGACTTCAAAAGGCCATTCCACTGTTCTGTTAATCCAGTTGCTTGAGGATGTTGGGGAACATGGTAAGACCAGTGAATTCCATGAGCATGAGCCCACTGCTGCACTTCTTTAGCCTTAAAGTGAGTGCCTTGGTCAGAGGCAATGCTGTATGGAATACCATGTTGGTGAATAAGGCATTCTGTGAGTCGACGGATGGTAGTCTTGGCAGAAGCATTGCGTGCAGTATAGGCAAACCCATATCGGAGTAAGTATCTATTCCAGTGACGACAAATCTCTGCCCTTTCCATGATGGAAGAGGTCCAATTTAGTGAACCTGCTACCAGACAGCTGTCTGATCACCCCGAGGAATGGTGCCATATCAAGTGCTCAGTGTTGGTCTCTGCTGCTGGCAAACTGGGCACTCAGCAGTGGCTGTATCCAGGTCAGCCTTGGTGAGTGGAAGTCCATGTTGCTGAGCCCATGCGTAACCTTCATCCCTGCCAACATGGCCACTTTGTTCATAGGCCCACTGAGTGATGACAAGAGTGGCTGGTGAAAGAGGCTGAGTGGTGTCCACAGAACAGGTCATTCTATCCACTTGATTATTTAATTCCTCCTCTGCTAAGGTCACCCATTGCTGAGCACTCACATGTGATACAAATATCTTCAGTTTTTGACCACTCAGAGAGATCCATCCACATACCTCTTCCCCAAATTTGTCACCAGTTTTCCAATCGTGCTTCTTCCAGGTCCCTGACCATCAAACCAAACCATTGGCTACAGCCCATGTATCAGCATATAATCACACATCTGACCATTTCTCCTTCCATGCAAAGTGCACAACAAGGTGCACTTCTCAGAGTTTTGCCCACTGGGAAGATTTCCCTCTACTGCTGTTTTTCAGGGATGTCCTAGAAAGGGGCTGGAGTGCTGCAGCTGTCCACTTTCTGGTGGTGCTTGCATATCATGCAGAACAATCCGTAAGCCAGGCCCTAGTCTTCTCTTCCTCTGTCAACTGATCACAGGGAGCTCTCCACAAGGCCATCATCACTGCAGGCTGGGGTTGAGAAGACAGGGTGGCAGGAATGGAGACTATGGGCATTTGAGCCACTTCCTCACGTAACTTACTTGTGCCTTCAGGACCTACTTGAGCCCGATCACACACACACCACTTCCATTTGATGATGCAATGCTGCTGCTGTGCCATGATACTTTATGGCTAGATGGGTCAGAAAGCACCCAGTTCATGACAGGCAGTTCAAGTCACATGGTGACTTGATGACCCATGGTCAAATGTTCAATTTCCACCAAAGTGCCGTAACAGGCCAAGAACTGTCTCTCGAAAGGACGGTAGTTATCTGAAGAAGATAGCAGGGCCTTGCTCCAAAATCCTAGATGCCTCTATTGTGATTCACCTATTGGGCCTGCCAAAGGCTCCAAACAGCATCCTGTCTGCCACTGACACCTCAAGCACCACTGGATCTACTGGGTCATATGGCCCAAGTGGCAGAGCAGCTTACACAGCAGCCTGGACCTGTTGCAGAGCCTCTCCTGTTCTGCATCCCACTCAAAACTGGCAGCCGTTCAGGTCACTTGGTAAATGGGCCAGAGTAACAAACCCAAATGAGGAATGTGTTGCCTCCAAAATCCAAATAGGCCCACTAGGCATTGTGCCTTTCTTGATTGTAGGAGAGGCCAAAGGCGGCAACTTATCCTTCACCTTAGAAGGAATATCTTGACAGGCCCCACACTACTGGAGCCCTAGAAATTTCACTGAAGTAGAAGTTCTCTGAATTTTAGTCAGATTTATTCTCCATCCTCTGGCATGCAAATGTCTTGCCAATAAGTCCAGTGTGTTTGCAAGACTGCTCACTGGATCCAGT